ATTTGGTCCTAAAATGGTTTTAAAAAATCACTCTAAATTGTCTTCTATTTATTAAAAACACCCCTTAATTGTCAAATCGATTTAGATACTAAAAGACGAAATAATGGTCAAACTACGTAAATCAGATATAATATCAAGTTTTGTCTCACAATCAGATACAAATAAAAAAAAATCATGTCCACAATTATTATAGAATATCAACACTCGGTGTTTATAAAAAATATATTTCTTACAAGAAAACATAACATTCGTTGGTTAATTTATACGTTTAAAAAAATGATAAAAATTAGAAATCTTCACGTACAATCATAGTTTTTAAGGATTGTCATGGTAGATTGTGTTTACGGGTTACGGGTTGTGAGAGTACAAATTTTTTATTTTAGGCAGTGAGCGATTTACAAAATCGATCAAAAATGGTGAGCGATGTAGACTTAAATCGGATGATATAGCAAGCGGTTTATTTCAAATCCGGACATAAGGTGAGCGATTAAGATGTAAATCGCCTGGCTTGGTGTGCGATTTACCCATAAATCGGATGAGGAGATGATCGATTTAGACACAGATGAGTTCTTGAATCCAAATGAAATATGATCGATGAAGATGAAGATTGTAATGAAGATGGGCTGTTGGGCTGTTGAGACTGAGATGGGCCTGAAAGATAATGGGCCTTGAGCGATTTAGGCTAAAAAAATGTTAAAAACACAAAACAACAAAAAATATTAACTAAAAATAGATCAAAACACTAATTTTAAAAAAAATTAAGAACACGAAAAAATTTAAAAACACAAAATCGATCAAATCTCAAAATGGAATGATTAAAACACAAAACTTTGTGTTTAACAAAGATTCACAACACAATTACGAGCAGTTTGATTATGATTTTAACACAAAAACACAAGATTTTGAAAAAAAAATTGGATCAAACCCAAGAAAAAACGAAGAACAAAATAAGAACACAAAAAAAAATCCAAAAAATTTCAAAAAAAATTTCGTCAAATCTTGATTTCTTCTCCTGATTTCGAACAAATCCTGCTCTGATATCAATTATAGATCCCACTATATCAATCTTCAAGTAATCTTCAAACAACAATGGCAGATCTTGATAAATCTCTTTAAGAACACTTGAGAGAATAGAGAGAAAATGTCAACACCCTAAGAATGGTCAAACTTTATTATGTAAAAACTGATTTTACAATTTAACTCTTACCCAAAATACAAAGGAATTACCCTTTATATAGGGTCAAACATAAAAGCCTAGTCAAAGTTAAATTATTCTAAAGAAAAGTCAAACACGATGACTTTTATACAATTATAGACAAAATTAACTTTTGAGACTAATACAATTTTACACTGACTTTCAGTCCTAACACAAAATAGTGGGGAAAAAATACATGGCTCGCCCCCGGGGTAGATCCGGTGAGGTGGGGATCGCCCCCCGGAGGTAGATCTCAATGATCGAGGCAAATAGTGTTGGTTTCCTAAAATAGATACATGTGGGTCCCACCAAATTAATTTTTAATATTTTTTTGTACTATTTAGTCAATCAAGAAGGGGATCGCCCCCATGGTCAAACCTCTACCCCCGGAGGCGATCCGTGTGGTCATTTTAGCAATTTCGGTTAAAGTTGCCTATTTCGTTAATAAATCAGATATATTTTGGTCGTTTTGGTGATTTTCCCATTTGACATTCCTTAGCAACTAATGGTATTTTGATGGAATAGAATTCCCTTATTTGCATAATACTAAATATGCCTTTGACCTAATATACCATAATCTCATAAAACCCAATATGACCATCATCGACCACCTTTGACCACCGTTAATGTGAATCACCGCCGACCATTGCTATTTGAACCACTACCGACTACCACTGATCTGAACCATCGCCGACCACCACCGTCGACCACCGGCGATCTGAACCACCACTAATCTGATCCACCGTCAATCTGAAAAGACCGCAGGTTACCGTCATCTGAACCACCATGGACCACCACCGATCTGAATCATTGTCGACCATCGCCATCTGAACCACAACAGACCACTATCGAATTAAACAATCACTAACTACTGTCGATCTGAATCACCGCCAGCCACCGCCGATCTGAACCACCGCCGACCATAATCAATCTGAACAACTATCGATCTCATCTGATCCATCGTCGATCTGGACCACCCTCGGTCTGAACCATTGCCAATCTAAATCACCACCAATCTGAACCACATTCGACCACCACCACCTAAAGCACCACGGACCACCATCAATCTAAACCACTATTGATTACCATCGATTTGAATCACCGCCAGACACTGTCGACCACCGACGATTTGAATAACCACCGATCTGAATCACCACCACCACTGCCGATCTGGATCACTATCCACTTGTAACACCCTCATTTTTCATCATGAGTTGTGTCACGTCGTTCTCATTAAATAACAATAAATAACCCCAAAATATAGCGGTTAATAAAGCCTTGTTACATCGGAAGTCTTACAATAATTTAATTGTAATCAATATCTCAAAATTAACCCGTCCCATACTAGGTTACGTTACATGGAAATCCAATTAAAATACTAAAGATTTTATAAATCATAACTTGAATAATAGTTCTATTTCCTATGTAGAACCTTTGCCCTTGTCTGTTCTTGAACTTCCAGCTCCTGAGATGCATATTAATAGTCAGCTTTATAAAGCTCGGTGAGTTCATGGTTTTTTGTGCACAATCATACATATCTCATCATGCATAAAACAGACAATACCCCCAAATACAATAATGTGCACATTTGTTTCAAACTCTTTTGAAATAATAATAAGATCTCTTAATTTCTCGTCGGGTTAAGGTCTTACCGTCATCGGCATATTCCCGGGTTACACGGCTATCCCTTGTCCGGTCACCCATCCCTTATGACTTTTGACCCCTTCCCATACGCGACAAAAATAATAACTCGTTTATAACATGCTAATTAATGTTTAAAAAATACGTAAACAAATAGCATGCAACCCGTAATAATAATTCATATACATGTAATAAACCCATAAACATGTACATAAGAAAAATAACGTAATACTAAAATAATTTGTATGTAAGCATGCATCGCAGTTAAATTCTCATGAAGACTCACCTGAATAGCTCTACTTAACTAAACTTCGTCCTTGAGTAATATCCTATAACATGTAATCATATTTCCATAATTAGAGTACGACTTTTCACAAAAAGTCAACCTAAAAGTCAAATGGGTCAGTCCTAGGGTTGGCATGGTCAATGGGTCAACCCTAAGCATACCACGTCATCATGTACCACCTCCCAAATGAAATTTTTCACATCCAAAATAAATTACGACGTATTAAACCAACATTTAATTATATACGATTCTCGTTATAAAAACGTTCGATCCCACAATTATATAGTCACAACTCCCGAATTAAGTTATTAAATTATTTTCTTATAATTTAAATATGAAAATCCAATTAATTAATATCATTTACAATTGATGTCCAAATCTTGACCAACTTAATCAAAACATCCCGATTTATTTCGATTAATCGAAGTAAATAAATGAGCTTCAAATCTCTTTTTAACAAATACCGATTTTATCAAAACAACTCGAGTCTAACCGAATTCGACCAAACGCACAAACTACTTGCAATCTTGAGTTTTAAGTAATATACATTAATAAATAGTACTTTACGCATAAAAAGTGGTTTTTAAGAGTTTTTATGAAATGCTTTATAATATATTATAGATAATTTATTAAATGAAAATAGGCTTTTAACTGAAGTGAAGGGTGGTGACCACCTTTTGGCTTCCCAAGACTACACGACATATTTCCCGTTCAAATGAAGTGGTCGGGAAATTACCGTCCGATTGGAGTTGTGAAAACGACAAAATCGTGAAATTGCCTCCGATTGAAGATGCTCTTAACCGGTTCTTCTCACTGTGCCCTTCCTTATTCCTGCTCCAAGACCAGCGCATCCTTCGCCATTTTCGTCCTCACCAGTCACCACCACCTCCAAACTCACCCTCCGCTTCTATGTGTCTCTCAAACGTCTCCTAGGTGGTTCCGGTCATTCTGTTAGCATCCAACCACCACCCATCCTATACTTAGAGTTCATGCCCTCATCAGTCAGYTACTGTTCGAGGGTGTAAGCGATACAAATGGTGGTGCTACGATGGAGGGTTGCCAACTTGCCATTAGCGTCTTTCTTCATTTCGGGATTTTTTCAGATCGATTTCGATTTGCAATGAGGACTGCCGAACTCATATTCATTTGGGTTTTGGTTTTGATATGGATTTTGCTTTGGTTTCTTATATCGGTTTCGATATAGGTTTCTTCGATCTATTTACGAGTTCATCGTCTGGATCTTGTTGATTTGGGTTCAAATTTACTTGGCTTCCCAGTTTCGTTCCCACTTCCCTTTAGGTTCCAACTCCCAAGTAGCGACAGCGTAACTCTATCTAGCCTTCGGGCATTGTCGCACCTCCATTAAGTTAAGGTAGCGAGTTCACGAAGACAGCGAGATAGGTACGAAGTACATCCCTTCATGAAATCACGCCTTCGAGTGTGCAAAATGCTAAATCCTTGACCCTTTTTTATTCTCTCATATCAACTTCTCTCATATAGAAATCTGAATCTGGTTTAGCTTTACTGTAGTTGAAAATGGTTTCGGATGTGTTACTGGTTGCTTATAGATACATATAATATAAGCAAGACAAGACAAATGATTATCGAATAGGATTCTGGTTAGTGCTTCCAATTCGGAAGATGTTCCAATTTGTGTTCAATGTATAGTTTCTATTTGCCGTTTGGATTCTATCCAGAAATTGTCGGTTTCATGGAACATGATTTCGCCATTAAGATAAATTATCCAATACATCAATATAGAATACAAGTAGATGGAAACAGAACTCGAAATCTACATTTTGAATCATCGGTAAGTTGTGGATGATGATTTTCTTCCCATCGATGTTCCAACTTGACGAGAATGAATTGTATCTCGTTTAGTTTCCTGCGAGTCATAAAGCATCAGTGTGTCAAACCCTATCCAACTATATCTCTTTCATGAATTGAAGTATATGATGAATGAACGAAAGRAAAATCTATACCRTATCTAATGAGCTCTTCGACATGATCCTTCYATAACCAGATCCTTCATTGATCGAACCCTTGAGTTTCAGCTTTGTTTCTTTCTCCTCAATGCTTGATTTTCTGGCGTTTATAATCTTGTCCACCATCCTGCTTCCAAGAATCTGGCCACCAATTCCTGTTTGAAACATTCTACTACCACCCTTTTGAGCAGCCATGGTGGTCATGTTTTCTTCCGTCGTAGGTGCCATTTTTCGACCTCTCGGTGAACACGACTGCCTTCTTGCTCTCATACTGGAAATTTCAGGTTTCTGAGGAGGTGCAACTATGGTGTTTTGACTACTTTTTTGGTTAATAGGTCGTCCTCTTGAAGCTGAAGTGGATCGATCTGTCTTTAGATTAGGTGGTGTTTCATCTGAAAAACCAGGAAATTGGGTTGGCGTCCTGGATGTTACCAGAGGTGAAACCCCTCTACTTTTTTGTGTGGTTCTTGACGACGAATTCATTCCCTGAATGCTTTTCGATTGATTTGTACCCAGGAAATTGAAACGACCATCTCTTTCACTCAATGGTTTTGATATAGATGGGGTCGTATTCGACTTGTGGGCGAGTTCGATCACACCAGTCTTGTTGACGGTGCTGATCAATGGGATCGGAGCTGTTTTTATGTTCTTCTTCTGATCAGTGAACAAGCTGCTTGACCTCCCGTTAGGTGTTACTGATCTTGCTGGAATCTTTGGTTTGGGATTTGTTGTTTTAGACCTTCCTGCATCGGCACCAATGCTTCTATGCTTTGGTTCCATCTCTTCTGGTTTTGCTGCAAACTAAGGTTGGGGTTAGACCAAGAACACGATGGTCATACAGGTGGAGAAAGGAACACCGAGTTTGCATACATACCCGTGAAATAGAGGGGTGGATGATGGGCAATTCGCGTTGAATAACAAGCTCGTGATTATTTATGGTTTCCATCTCGAGGGATGGAAATAGAGGGGTGGCGGGTGGTGTCTTCAACCTTGGGTAGAAGCACAAGGATCAGTCGTGCTCTATTTTTTAAAAGAATAAATACATGAAGGAAGGCGAAGGCGAAGGCGATGGATAGTTACCAGTCATAATCATTTTTGTGGGTCTCTCCAAGGAATGTTATCCCTGGTCCTTTCTTTGATGATGGGATGGCGTAAAGTGGATAGTTTCCTACAATTCAAAAGGATATGAATATCACCACACCAGTCGTTGTTGTGATTGCATAAGTATAGGTAGATTGATAGAGAAGTTACCGTTGGATTCAAAGTCATCGAAAACAGGGTGAAGAAGGCTAAGGACTCGATGTTTATGCATCTCTCGGAACAAACTAAGATCTTCATCTTTATCTTTTGAATGATTAGAGAATATGTTCCTCCGGGCACCACCGTCCATTGGAGTTGTGTTAGTGATGTAAAGTTGAAGGATGATTGTATATATGAAAGGAGATGGAGGAGAAAGACACATATTAAAGGGGGCCGGCTGTCGGCTGTTTTGATGAAACCAAAGTTGGATGGATGGATGTGGCATTTGGCGATTGTTGGGATTAATAATTTAAATTTACATCTAACCTTATTCTCTAATGACTATGACACCCCAACCTTCACTAATACGACATTTTCATTGCCAAAGATGGATGTGGCATTTGGCGATTGTTGGGATTAATAATTTAAATTTACATCTAACCTTATTCTCTAATGACTATGACACCCCAACCTTCACTAATACGACATTTTCATTGCCAAAGATGGATGTGGCATTTGGCGATTGTTGGGATTATATATTTTCATTGCCAAATGGCATACCAAGTGTTTTATAAATAAATTAGCTTATATTACATTTCTCAAAATTGTTTTATGAAAAAAATCAAAATGTGATTTTAAGCATATGTTATTACATCATTAAATACACATTTAATTATATATTAAATAAACAATGTATAAAAAGTAAATACGCATCCTATTTAATAATTTAATTCGCAAAATTATATAAACCCGCTTTCTCACCGAGTATTTCAACTCAAGTCATTAGTTGGTTGCAAATCATCACCTGATAAGACATTGACGATAAAACGCACGACTCATGCTCTTTTCAAGTGTAAAAACGCACAACCTGTATTATTTTAATGACCAAAAACGCACGGCTCATGTATTGTCAATAGCCACTTAGAAACTCGTCATATAAAGCATCCAACGATCTCTTAATATGTTTTATTAGATCCCTTTGATCCAAACTCATCCAACGATCTCTTAATATGGCCGGAGAAAGGAGATGGAGGTTCTTCGAGTTCCAGGTGAGCCTTGGGGAAGATGATGTTGTATGTAAATTATATTAATACAATAAACGTTAAAGGCATATGCCTGATATTAATATAATGTTTTAAAATATCCAATTGAAAACTAAAGAAAGACATTTAGTTGACTTTTTGAGTTCCAGGGACGAAAAGAGGAACGGAAAAAACAGTTTTTAAAGACCAGGGACTAAAACTGTTATAAACATCAAATCATAAGGACTAAAACTGTAATTTACTCTAAAACAAAAGAAAGATATATATTAGAAGGAAGTATACTAAAAATTGAGAGAGATTGAAATATGGCTTTGTATTATTTTACATGTTTTTATGGTTTATGTAAGTAATTTTTTCGTATTTAATTTTGACGCTGTTTGATATTAAGGAATATTAATTAAAAAAAATCTCTGGAAATAAACTAAAAACACACATTAATCCACTTTAAAGGTTAGATTTGGGTTTCTAAAGAGTCTTCGGCCTAACGGTATCGTAGCCTTTGGCTTCCTAGATGGTCAAAGGTTCAAACCTCACTAAAGATGAGGAAGGTGTATAAGTTTATTTGTTGCATTTGTCGTATATAAATATTACTAAAAGCGTACTCGTACAATGCATCAAGATACATCATGATTTTAATATTTCATTTTATTCTTTATCTCAGTCGATATTATAATATGGATTTATGTGATTTTGAGAAAGCGATGATGTTTTTATTTTTGAATAAAATATATGTTTGAAGATATCATAAAAATTTAACAAAAATATATCGATATTACT